CTAATTGTAATAACACATTTCTTTTAATTAATCACATATAATTTCATAAGAAAATTTATTCCAGAAAAGAACAAAATTAGATGTGCCACCATTAATACCTTTACAGTTTACGAATACAGAAAACATAACAAATCAAACGATGCTAAAGGATATGTATATATCTGAAGATGACGTTACATCTTCGAAAGACTCTTCGCAAAAAGCTCATGATGCTTCCAATGATGATAAATGTAAAAATGACGAAGAGCAAGAAAATAAAGGTAATGTTCAATTAAAACCAACCTTAGTTCCAATGAAGATCAAGCCATTAATTGGGAGGCGTAATATAACTGAACGAAGGAAAGCATCGACCAAAAGATGGGTTGCAAGAAAAAAGGCACTCCTTGCAGCAACAGGAGAAACTGTTTCAGATACAGATTCTATGGCTTCAGACGATACACAGCTATCACCAGTACAGAAAGCAAGAGCAAAGACAAATATGGATAAAGAACTTGAAAAGCAAAGAAGATTGGTCAAAGTGTTAGAGAACTTGCAAAACACTTTGGCAGATAAATATGAACATGATAGAAATGATTTTGTGAGTTTAGACAGTGATACAGATACACATAAGACAAGATCTCTTAAAGACATAAATTCTGATGGTTCTTTAACTGGAGGAAAAAATATATCTGCCAAAGAAAGTATTAAACAAAATGAAGCAAAGAAAGATACATTTTTCGAAGAGAAAGAAATTCTTCCTAATTCACAGCCAGAAAAAGTTGTTAAAAAGAAATCGCAGAAGAAAGATGAAACGGAAATAACCGAAGATACATTTACACCATATTCAGTAAAATCAGAATTAGAAATTGAAGATGCTACGTATATTGTTACATCTACATTAATGCTCGCTGGGCCTCATTATTTAAATAAAGCAAATTTAAATACTTTGTCAAAGGAATCTAAAGATGGTAGTATTGAACAAAATTCTCAAGAGAAAAATACTGATATTATCGATGCTGTGCAACTTCGTAGGATAAATCCAATTCCAATAGATGTTAATAATAAAAAATGTGTCGAAAGATGTTTGAATATAGAAGTAGAGGGAACAGAGATAGAAGCATTGAAACGCATACAAGTTGAATTAGCAAGTTTTGTAGAGAAAGAAATGAAATACAGATTATTTGGAATGAGTAATGATAGTATAAGAAGAGATAAGATAGGAAATGACTATAAAACTTCGTATCAAACTCTAGATCAACAGTTGAAAACTATAATAGAAAAGACTATAAAGAAAAATTTCGAATCGTCTATGATAAGAAGTTGTGGCACTGATCTTAATTCATATTCTCAACAATTTGGGACAGTCTCTCCAGTGTTTGTAAAGGAGGCAATGAATTCTAAAAAGTACCAACCAAAAGTCATATTAAAACGTTTGGACATTACAAAAGAAAGTAAACTCTACAATATTAATAATATGCATGTTTTAATTAAGCGTACAGTTAAGAGCAATCTTGGTGGGCCATTTAGTATGGTTTCTCATAAAAGACAAAGTGTACCACCAATAAGATATAATGATTATAATACTTCTGCTTTGGATTCTGACTCATATTTATCAGATGAAACTTCTGAAACATTTAAAACTGATAATAATGTACAAAAGTCACAAGAAAATAAAGAACAAAATAGTGTCGTGAAACAAATAGATGAATCGAAAGTTGCGGATTCTAATAATACTAAAAATGAACATCAAATAGAAATTCAAGAAAATATTTTTAAAATTACTTCATCACATAGTGAAAAACATATATGTGGTGTATGTGATCAATCATTTGCTAATCGTAGTGATGCTATTACACATGTTCGTATGCATAAAACAGAAACCACTATATTGCGACATAATAAGCACAAAATGATGCGATGTAAAAGATGTCATGAAATAGTAGAAGCTAGATTCGTAAAAGCTCATGTATGTAAATCTACAAAACAATACATTCACAAATGTTATGTATGCAATTCTACATTTCGAACTGAGAAACTGTTGGTACGCCATTTAGAAAGTCATGATCAGTCTGAATTTAATATAGAAAACATAACAAAAGGAGAATCTCAAAAGTTAACAAATATAAACACATTACAGAATTCTAAAGGCACAGTATACTCAAAGTCAGATAAACTTTTGAAAGTAGAGAATAATCGAATTATGAAGTTAGAGAATTCTAGGACAGGAATAAGTATTGAGAAAATAGGAGCAACCAAAGGAAGAGGAGATACTGTGTCAGGAGCAGAGAAACTAAAGGAAACGTATACTTGTTTCGTATGTGACAAAATTTTTACAGATGAGGAAATATTAAAAGATCATTTACAAAAGCATTGTGATGATATAAGCGAGGGTGATCAAAGTCCTGGCAAAGAGCAGTATCAATGTGCAATCTGTGGGGACTCATTAGAATCTGAGGATGCATTGGAAGCACACGTTGAAAAACATTTGTTTGATGAAGAGGATGATAATCCTAATCTTATTAGTATTGGCAGTGAAAATGATAAGTCAAAGGATGAAATCTATCAATGTCTGCAATGTACAGAAGTGTTTAATTCAGAGATGTTACTAGAAATGCATATGCAAGCTCATGAAGAAGAAGCTGCAATAGCAGAATGGGAGAAACAAGGAATAAAAACTTATGAATTTCAGTGTATGATTTGTGATGAACTTTTTGAAACAGAAGAGGATTTATCGGAACATTTAGATATACATAATGAAACTGCGCATGTTTGTCAATTATGTGATAAACCATTTTTCAGTCTTGAAGACTTACAGAAACATGTTGCAACTCATTAATTTAATTACTCCAATTACTTTAATTATTCTTCACATAGACTGAGAATTCCGATGTCTCTACATTAATTACTTACTACATATAATGTATGCAATGACTCTTGAAGTTTTAATTTATAGTGTAATCAACAAAATTTTGTTCACTGATATAGTATACAAACATGTATAATAGTATACAAATATATTGGAACTTAAGGATAAGTTTCTAAGTGCATATTTATGTTGCTTCCATTTTGATACTTATTGAATTCTGTTCCACTTCATCTGCAAGTAATGTTTAACTTTTTCTGTATTAATGGATCTGCAGATGTTCATATAATTTAGAATCATCGAAATTAAATGTAAACAATATGGTTATTTATAAATTAAACGTAGGGATTTTGACTATGATAATTTAGTGTACAATATTATTCACAAGCTATAAAAAATTCCTTGATCTATATGTACATATACTACACAATGAATAGACGATATTTCATATGTTAGTGTCGATATACATATATATATATAATATCGATATATATTACACGTATGTTATATATATCGCATATAATTTGTTTTTCAACATATAACGAATTATAATATCAAAGCTAATCCATAATACTTATCATAGATTAGAACCAGGAGCGATTAAATGAACACTTGTGTAAAAATTGTAATCTGTTTCATTCAATGAAATTTAATATGTATGAAGTTTAATGACTATCCAAATATATGTTTTTACACACCATAATGTTATACAATAATTTCTTTCTTGAAACAATTTTCACTCAACTGATATACATTTTTAATAGTTTTGGCCAAAACCATGATTATTAAATTCAGTTTCGCAGTTAACACACGAATTTATCATACCACAGTTGTTTGTAAACTTAATTGGCGTTTATGAAAATGTATCGACGCATCGTTATGATATTTGTAAGTGAAAATAGATGCTGCATCATGTATTATGTAATATTTCGTATATATGCTATTTATTAAGTTATACATAATAAATTTTATACACAAACTATAATCTATTTAACAACATCATGGAATCGCGAACACTCTTTACAGAAAATAATTTGGAGGACTAATGATGTAAACAATTACAAAAATCAGTCGCTGGCTGAATTGTAAATGTTATTATACTCTACTATATTTACATAAATATTGTGTATAGTAACACGTTATTTACTCGTGACGAATAACTAGCATTTATCACTATATACCATGAAAACTTGACTTGACTTGAAGTTGATTCTCCTGCGCGCATTATAAAATAAAAGAATATTTAAATAACAAATGACTTCGTTAATACTAACTCTCAAATTTGTCTCGTCATATAGAAAATTATAAATGCTTTTTTTCTCAAACCATATAAATCTACAGTTCGTTCAATTTCATAATCCGCAGCATTGTTCTCAATATTAACTTAAACACGTGTTTCTATACTACAAATATTTCCTGAAAACATATATTCGTGAAGGTACATCGATTAACTTAATAGCAGGTAATTTGCTACGAAAGCACATATCTTTGCGCTTTCATTTCCATACTTCTTCAATTGTATTACATCTATCAGAAAATGGATAATGATTATATGAAATACCTTCAGTATTATATATTTCGTTTTATATAAAATTTTTCGTTCAATTAAAAAAGATATTATGACTTTATTCTCATAAATGATCAACATTGCTTCAATATAAGAAATTATGTACAAAAAAGCACATTAACCAATGACGAAAACTTCTCATTATAATCTTTTATAACGTGAATATTCTCATAATATTATAATTTTTAATTTATTTTATTTCTTATATATAAATAATTCTTGTCCCCTCATTTTTTTTCTCAACATTAGAATATTGTAATTATTAAAAAAAAAGGAAAAACAACAAAGAAAAAGATTGGACAATTCTGGGTCCCAAATTTTATTTGCCTGGTACGTCTTATGTACGTATTCAAGTGTTTTCTTTTTTCACTTTCTCATCATAAAATCTCAACTTCGCTAAACAATTGTAACTTTACATACCGTTTATATTCTTAAAGCTATTATATACAACGATACCATTCGAAAAGAATAGGTTTTAATAGTATCATTTGAATAACAATAAATTAAATATACTTTTCGTCGCGCTAGCCAAAATATTTCATAGCAACAATGCTAATAATGAGTCGAAAAATGTTTTGAAATTGTACAGTATCTCAAAAATCTAAACTTATAATATACTCGTGGTGTATGTGTATCCATCTTATCGTTTAGCGCTAATTTATATAGATGGATGTAGAGAACCCTAACTATCTATGGAAACCAATTACCCATTAGGAGTAAAAGTTTCGTTTTTTAAGTTCTATCGTATCGACCCTACATCGATCTGAGAAATAGAATGAAGTAGATGTATGCATTTTTTCCCTTTTCACTCTTATAACAGTTTTCTTTGAATTTCAATCGTAACATCGAGCCGTAAGATTTTATAATCTTTCTCGTCTTTTTCAACGCTCATTATATATCACACAAAATGAACGATCCCTAATATAGAGTCTCATGTAATTATTATTTAACGACATTTACAAATTTTCTTATTATTTTTTCAACGAACTCGCTATTTCGTAAAGAAATAAACAACAAAATAAAAATTTCGTTCCTTCCCTTTGCTTTCGTATGCGTTACGTGTTAAGTAACTAACAATGTTCATGTAATTTGGCGTTATGTGGTAGTTTTACGGAGACACAAGTTCTACGTAGTTTGCTGGATAGAGACCCACTCTACCGTCTTTTCGTCCTTTACACCATCCTTGCTCGTCTTCGTCTTCTAATTTATCGAATACATCGCCTATGAAAATTTAAAAATTATTTAAATCGTATTGTATATACATGCATATAGGGTGGTCCATTTAATTGGACCAGCTAAGAGCTAGGTCGGTTCTATATAATAAAATGCTTAAATATGTACTGTGATTTAATAATACGTATATGTTGTATATATAGTTTGTATAATACCTTGCTTAAAACTAAGTTCATCAGCTTCGGCTCCTTCGTAATCATATAAAGCGCGTACAAGAACACCTGGTTCTCCATTATCTACCAATGGTTCGCCACTGTCTTCATCCCATTCTTCTTCCTCAAATGGATTTGATTCTTGCTTAACGTTTGTACCATTACTGTGGAGAGAAAAATTTCCAATTTTTATTCATATTGATACACTAGCTTTGTTTATGTCTATATACTTATACAGGTGTACTAACATGTAAAACAATATAAATTAAAAAATCCTATAATTAAATCTGTGTAATTAAAATTCCATCATTTAATAACAAATTTTTAATAGTGTTCTAATAGTAATAATAATAGTTCTAAAAATGTAAATTCTAGGATTTAATAAGATTTTTCTAATAGTGAATTATTATTATTATTAGAGAATAGTAAAAGTTTAGAAATACACACATAGTTTTGAAGATCTTCAATTTAACGAATAGAAGACGAAGTTTTTTGTATTTAAAACAGAGAAATCGAATTAATCATATTATTATTATTAATTCTTATTATGAAATTATTTTGAATGCTCACGTCATCGTGGAGGTCCTGTTTACAGCATTACCATCATGATTGTTTTTCTCTGAAGAGTGTTTGCTGGAATTCATCGTGTCGGTTTTGCTATCCCCATGGCCTCCATCTGTTGATATTACCCGGGAACTGGGCTTCGATTTTGATTTGTTATTAACTGGTGGGTACTCCTACGTTAATGAAAGATCATTATATTTATTACATCATTGTATATACATCACACTATAAAATTTAAAGTTACATTTGTGTATATATATATATATATAATTTTATAGTTTAAATATGTATATTAAATATTTATAATGTTATCTAAATCATGCGTGCAACCAATTATAGTATATCTAGAAATTTTTCATCTCTGTACCGACTCACGAAAGTATTTGAACATTTACCATAGAAAATTTTTATATTCGGATTGTGTTTGTTATGTAAACCATTTCGAACTTTCATTAATACAGTAATAAGAGACGATTACCACGATCGTATTAATTTTGAAATGAATTTAAAAATGCATATAGAATTTGTGTCTGTTCTTTTGACACATCTTACTGACACATTATGGTAGGTCACCGGTTCGATTATTTGTGACACGTTTATCAGCATATTACTTTGTTTACTATGATACTTTCATGATCTCTGCGAAATATATATTTGCGCATTGTACATGCATATAATTGTACGAAATGTCTTTTCATTTTTACATATACTTTCGAGATTCATTTTAAACTTTATCAATGAGAGCCAATAAAATTTCACGATGTCTCGTACAATACATATAATATATTCATAAACGGTGTTTGAATACTTTCGTCAGGCTATGTGTATCTATTAATTATTTAATATGATAAGCACATATATACAATTATAATACCTGTTTGCAGTATTTTTAATTTGTTATTTTTAAGCTTAAGAGTATAAGCTTCACATATGATAAAAATTTATTATCATGTTATAAAAAGTTGTATCATAATAAAAAAAAGAAGTGGTATAATTTAAGATGAAACGAAAACGAACGTGTTGGAATGGAATGAAGTTAAATTGCGTCGCACAGGTACCTATTACCTACAAAGATCGTTGTCATACATCATGCGGTAACGAATGTGGCAATATACGTATTCGTTGTTACAATGGATGAACGTAATTCACACTTACGGCTGTGACAATTTTTTCGTGCGAATTAACTGTGCGCATGATTTCTGGTTGCAAGCATGTTTATTTTAACGCTTCGTCTCTCTATATAATAATAATAAATAAATACGTATACTAATGATCGTGTTTGTTAAACGTGCGAGTAAATATAGAGCGAATTTACTATACAGGTCTGTCATTCATAAATGTGTTTAATACAGGTATTCTTCAATGGACGAATCAAAATAACTAAAATCAATTAGCAGAAATTATTACATTTACAATTAGTATCGCAAGAGATCATTATGCAGTTATGTAAATTTAAATATGAATGTCCAATTTCATAATTGTATGTTTTTCTAATGTTTTCTCCATTTTATTACGAATTTTTGGAGATCCAAATTACAAGCCTAAACATTAAAAAAAATCCTATACATATGAATTTTGTGTATTTTTATATATTTGTTTATACTATAGTTCGGATATTTGATATATTTTGTGTATTTGTACACCTTTAAATTTCTTACAAATGAATAAACATTTACAGTATTGGAATTTCTTTTTTATTTTGACACGCGGTATCAGTTTGCTGGTCTTACTCATTTACGATCGCCTGCATAATGGATGCACGTTCGATTCGCGTCATCGGCATGCATTATAAATAGATAAAGAGATTTGAAACGACCTTGCTGACATTACACCGCTAGATCTTTACGATCATCTGGATATTTTCATTACACTTCTCAGAAAGCGTCGACATGTTTTAATAAAATTCTTTTTATAGAGGAGACAAGGAAGAAACGTGTAACTTCAAGTAAATTCAAATGACATCTTCCTCGGTTAACGTATTAATCTTATTGCAAATTCGCTCCAGAATCGAACAGTGGAAACATGCTCGGCGTGTATTCGCGATATAGATCTGCGATCACGTGCAAAAACAAGCGCATAGCGGGTTACGGTTAATTCAGTTAAGTTAGGCGAGCCAGAAGCTGAAAAAGGAAACCCATCCTCGGTGACCTCGTCGTGTTTGCCTGTTACGACACTATTTCGTGGTTCTTGATCAGTAAAAAAAGTTCATTTTCTTTTTTCTATGTGCGTATACGTATATGTATTTGTGTGAATCTTCGCTCATTGAGTAGCATGTGAACGAAGAATAAGCAAATGGATAAGTGTAAAACGTAACAAAACTTTACATGCACATCCTCGCCGACCGGGCGTTGATTGATGAGCGTGATGGAGCCAGCCGGAAGAGCCTCCTTCGATTTTGAGCCCTTGGTGATGTCACGGAACTCCTCTGTGTAGTCCTGCGTAATAGCAACGCCCAAAAAAAAAGAACAATCACATGCATGCATTCCAGAAAATATTTCAATCTCAGGGGATATATTTCATTTTTGTATTTCTTTCTTTCTTTGATTGGAAGCTTTGAGAGAAATTCGATACTATGCTACACAGAGTGCCTCGATCTTTTTCCAATAAATAGATGCCTATGAGCGGTATTTAACGAATAAAAATAAGAAGCTCATAATAATTGCTCTCTTTAGAAGTTATAACAGACACACGAAATAACGACAGGTTTGTTTCTCCATCGGTAGAGTATAGAAACAGATTGGCGATATTTATATTAATTCGAATGAAATACTACAGAATATCCAGACATACAGAATATAACTAATGGACGATATTAATGCAGTTATAAAAAGGAAAGAACAAGAACGATATTCAATACACGCTACGGCTATATTTTCTAACATCAGATCTTCAACCATCAGCAAGAGTTTACATGCGATGAGAAAGAATTATTGTAATGCGTATATTTGTATTTTGTCGACTTACCTCGAACTGTGGCCAATTCATCGCCATATTTACACCGTGATTGTTCGACCACCATTTCAGATCTTTTTCATGGTCCGCGTTGTTAACTGTATGATAGAATTCTTCGTATATTTGTGGAAGTCTGTAAACCAAATGAGATCAAATCTTTTGTTTTAAATTTCTTTCTAAAGAAATAAACTCACTTTATAATTTGGTAAATTTTGAAGATTTATAAAACACATGATTTAATACCTTTAAAGGTATTCGTAATGTAAATACTTGAAATAAATTATTCAATTCAAATGCTTCAGATATTTTCGCGAGTCATTGTACAACACACTCTCGAAAATAATAATTTTCATCGAAGAGTGTAAACGAAAGTAACAAAAAGTAATTTACATTGGATCCTGAGATATATTGAGACATTTGTGAATGCCGAAGAGAACATCCTTGAAGAATTGAAGCCGCTGCGCCTCCATTTCTTGACACTTTTCGAACACTTGTGTCATATCTTCCATGTATTTTGGGTTATACTGATTAATTTCTTGCAACGCGGCTTCATATTTTTCTTTCGCTTTTTGTACCTCTTCCTTCGTTTTCTGCACCCTATCCTGCATTTTCTTCACCTGTTAATTAAATAGAAGAAGACATACGATAAATACACAATTTTTAATTTAATAATTTCACCGTCTACATTGAAGGTAAAGATCTTGGTACAAACCCAACACGTTGGTAATCTAAAGAAAAATAACGAAGAGAAAATGTTCTTAATTTTATATCGGAGCGATTAATTAATATTGCATTATTATTGTTATAAGTGTCGAAACGTGTTCTGAATAATATTCTGTTATTTATCATAATAATTCCAATTCTTTACCCTCAAGCTTATCTAGCGCACTATCGAGATGGCAAAAAAATACCTTTGAAAAGGTAAGCGTGATTTCTATGTAGGTTTAGCAGTTACGTAACAAATACCTACAGGATTTACTAGTGCAATAAAGTTGTAACACAGTAAGTATTATAAGTATTGTAATAAAACAGATCGAGAAGTTTTTAGTTATTTATTGTATCGTGTATTTTGTATTTTGTAAGGTTTGTGTAGAAATACTGTATGGAGTAGTTTCTTCTGAATGTAGTTATGAATGAAGAGAAATAAAATTTATAAGTGAAATATTTATAAAAAAATTTCGAAATTTGAGAAAAAAAGAGAATAAATATATCTGGCGTGAAAGAATGTAAAATAGGAGTTGTAGATACTGTAAGGAACTGTACAGAATATCCTTGAACTTGTTCTTTTTTCTAGTAACGCAACTACTACGAAGCTTGTAAAGCTTACATTATTGTTAGTCAGAATGCTATCTGCACTCATGCATAATAATGATTAGCGGTATTTTTTATTTTTCTTACCTCATGGTACTCCTCAGAAACATTCTTTACAGTTCATTACAATACGATATGTAAGAGTAAGTCGTGTAAGCATAACTTCTTGTCGTGTAACATTTACATGTATAGATGTAAGAGTAAGAAGAAGAAGCGAATAATAAATAAAAAGAAATTTAAAAAATGAACGTTTAATATATAATATGTAAAAACTTTAAAGTTTCACATTATATATATATAGAATTAATAATTTGATTTTGAGAATGGAATAATTTAATAGATTGACTTATAGTTTCTTGGAAATTACAAATCTACAATTGAAGAAGGTAGGTAACTGGCCAAGCAATTAGAGCATAGTGGTTCACAAGATTTAAAAATTTATGCACAAAGGGGATAGAGAGAGCAAATTCTATGTTGAAACGTATTAGGCCACTATAATTCACTTCTAAACAGAGATAACGAGCAATCATCGAGTAATTATCGAAGTAAATTGCAGAATTATATATGAAAGAATTCATGGATTTATAATTCTGTTCTATATGTATAATATTTGATTTCGCTAAAAGATAAATTGCAAAATTTCTATTTAAAACTTTGTTTAATAATGTTTTAATTCTTTCGTTACTTTCCGTCTATTCTTTACGTCTTTTACTAATTGAAATACAAACATATGAGAATGTCATCTAGAATTTTGCTATAAACTTTACTCTTTAAACGATAAGCAATAAATTATTTGTTGAATATAGATTTCAAATTTGTCAAGTTGTATAAACATCTAAAAATTCAGTTTTCCAAATTTAGAATATTCTAGATAATATAGAAAAAATCTATTTTTTTTCAAACTTTCTTCTTGAATTATTTAAAAAATTGAATTTTGAATCTTAGAACAATAACCATTTAAAAGCTCGATGTTTACGTGATAAAATTATTACTCGGAAGAAAGCGTGAAACAGATTTTGCTTACCAGCAGAGCTTTCTGTAATGAAAAATGAGAGAATGTTAATTAAACATACATGCTGCATGCATTATTATTATACATACAAGCTGAACGTCTCCTATTTTAGATTTCCTAAAGGATTTTCGCATTCTGTGGCCCCATGCATCACATCCACAAACTGTCATCTAAAAACGTCGTTTTTTCAGAAGATCGCCTCTCGTTTGGCGATTTATCAAATTCATAACACTCGAGACGTAGAGTAACGTTTTTTCCAGATATTTTATTTCTATAAAAATATCATTTCAAAACAGGTTTCGAAATCTTCTTAAAAATAACAGAAAGTGATGCAACCAAAAATAAGGGAAAATAATTTTGTGCACTAACAAAATTCTACGATCTACTCTTGTTCATAAAATATTAAATATTTATTTTACTTAATATTTAATATTCAAAAAAATTATATTGTAAATATTTCGTGTAACTGTATTGTACGTAAAAATTGTTGAACATCAAATTTCACGATCAATATCTAATAATGCAGCTGAAAGATTTAACGAAGTTTACAGTCCACGACTGAAACGTGCAAGAAAAAAAGGATCACTCGGACATTCACGAAAAATTTGGAAGCGAAAAGACAGAGAGTACAAATATCGATAATTCTCAAGGACACAAGACAACACGACATGCAGATTTTCGATAAAAATTAAAACACGAGATGTTTTTTTTTTTTGTTTCACATACGTTTTCAGAGCCTCGGGCCATCTGAAAATAATACTTGCTAAAGAACAACAGTATCTACTTTTATATTCAGCCGCGATTGCGTAATCGAGATACATACTAAATGTTAGTATTACGCACATGTAAGTACACACTGTGTATCAGTACGTACGTATGCGTTATGTTTTGTCAAGAGTACCGTCGCTTCGAAGAGAGAAAAATTTGATTTTCGTAGAATTGTACGTAATACCTTCTATATAGAACAACGGATGTATCTTCTATTTTAATTTTAAAAAAATATAATATGCTACTTAAAGTGGTTGGAGAATCGTTTTATGTCAAAAGATATCGCTTGTAAAATTCGTTTCTATCTGCCTCTCTCTCAGAGTAATTTATATATGTCGGGTTTACATTAGAATTAGAGTTAGGGGCGTGAAATGAATCTTCGTTCGGACTACACGATGTCGTTATACAATAGAGAAGACATTGACTATTACAAATACGATTATTATAGAATTGGACAAGCAACCATGGTAATTAGATACTCGAGAAACTAATGACAATGATCTTAGGTTCAATAACGAATCCGTAGTCGACGGGATGATAGATGAACGTACTCACAAAATCTAAGTCGGACTCTTTGTTAAACGTGGAATATCCTCCGAGCGTACAGACACTAAGTATTTCACTAATACGACCTCACGAGAGAATGACTTTCCGTCCCGGTGATACCTCGGAGGAAAACTATAATGGGTGTGTCTAAGGACACGAGATCATCGGATTCGTCGAGGATATCCTACATTCGGAAAGTAAGGGAAACTGACGTTGCTGCTAATTGGTCAATCTCCATATCGGTGGTTAGAAAAAGATGCTACCCGCCCTCGAGGGAAAATTGTTGGTGGGAGACGCCGTTCGTTGAAAAATAGGTCTCTCCTATCTTCCCGTAGTTGGGACAAAGACTGTTTGTCTGTTTGAAGGACTTTAGGTAACTAGATCTTAGATAACGGCCCTCGGGCTAGCTGATCACGTACTGTGGAGACGCGTCGGCATCTGGTAACCATCATATCCGAAGAATAGGATCCGCGAGCCACGGGACAGAAACCGTTGGAATGTTTACTGTCGCGTGCCGCTACAAATATTTCTTTTAAGGAGAGTTATAGAATTATTCCGTACCTTTGTTAGACAAAGCGTTCATCCCGTGACCGCGGCTACGTTCGGCGACTGGCTGTCGCTTCGAGCCCAAGCTCACTATCACAAATCTCAAACAAATACAATCGGATCGAAAGACGACAATTGTTTAATTACGCCTATGATAGAATCTAGATTACGGTGTTAGGGGATTATCCCGAAGTTCCAAAGGGGAGGCTTCGATGTCCTTTCATCTCCGACATATATACATATATATAAATATATATCTCCAACATTAGTGGAAGCGTTAATAGAAATTATACATATTTTAAATATTAGATTAGATGTAAGATAATTACGTCCTAATTTTTAGAATCGTTCGATTTAAATACTGTGAAATTTCCATTAGTTCGACTTCGATTTCATCTCGTTTTGTTATCTAACAACTATCCAGGATATCCAGGAAAACGAAACACAGCGTAAAAGAATTTTAATTAAGAAAACTTTTCCTCGTTTTTAAAATGCAGATCGTCTAATAGATTGTTTAATGTAAACTTTTAATTAAATATGTAGATAATAAAAAAACTTTCTTCTTACTTAATTCCAAGTCATACAAGACTGGAGATTTTTCCAATAACTTATGCAATGACTTGCTTCTATGGATATTCAAATAATTGTCACAAATTTAAAGATGAAAACACTGTATGTTGATTATGATTATTCATTTAATTACAAGTTTCCGTCGAACATGATTCTGAATAGTAAACAATTCTCTCAACCATTTGTTCAAGTGTCATAATTTTAATCGTTCTAACTTGAACGAAGCGTTCAAAGTACTCTGTTTTCTTCGATACATTACAATGAGTGGTCGAAAAGTACCTTTTGAAAGCGAACACGATGACAATCGCTGTGATTCAAATATGTAACGTAACGATTGCGCTAGTCGTCGATAACGTACGAGTGAGAATGATGTAACTGTTCATTACTGTAATCGACATAGAGAGGACGACTATCGTTTTACCTGGTCAGGGGAAAGCGAACTGTCCGCCGATGCGTTCCTTTCCATGTTCGCCGCGGTTCGTTCGGTTTTGCAGCTGTTGTGGTACTCGGACTTTGCTTTTTCAACCTTCTGCAAAAGCTTCGCCCATGGTTTCTGCGCCTTTTTGAACGCGTCCTCCATCTCCTTTCGCTCTTTCAACGTCATCATTGACTGCAATTTCGAACCACATCCAAGTGTGCAATTTATTAATTATTATGAAAACCTACGTGGGAAAAGAATTATTTGTAAAGATAGTAAAATAAAGATAAAACGGAGAAAGAAATGTGAAAGTTTAAGGTTAAATGTTGATTTATTCAACATTGTTCCAAAATACCGATCCACTAATCAAACATTTAACACAAAGAAAAAGCAAACGAAAAAAGAAAAGAAAGGGAAGAGAAATAGACTTTCATCTCGATATGTCAGAGATTATTCACAAGAAAAGAGCACGTACTTTGTGATAGGTCTCTTTCTGCCACGTTTTCACTTGGTGAATGATGTCGTTACAGAGATTCTCTTTGACCCTGAGGTGGAGATCGCACAGCCTCTCCGATTCAACGAGAACTCCTTTCCAAGCAGCCTCGGTGGTTCCATATTCCGGTCCTTTTTCGATCTTGTCGTTCCAATTTTTCGACCAATTTTTCAACGCTTTCGCGTAACTTTTCTCAATCTCTGCTCTTTCTTGGACTAGAGCTATTAAACTGTCGCAGAGCTTATGGCCATCCTCGATCCTCTTGGTCGTTCGTTTATAGTTACCTGGCTCCCAGAAAGAGTCCGAGGTTGCTATCAGCATGTTGTCGTCGCTGTGATGTGACATCTTAGCCTAAGTCGAGAAATTCCTTTCACCTGTAGTCAAGAATTAAATGAAAATATTATTATGGATATTCATTTGTATGGACAGAAATCATAATGAAATATAAATTAATAATTCATGACATGTATTGTGATTTGTTATTTATCATATTTATTATAGTATTTAGTTTATCGCGTGAAATATGAATTGAGTAATTATTAGACTGCGGATGTTTATGTATTTATGAAAAATTGTAATATGCAAATATATACGGAATATATAGAAGTATGCAAAATATAAGCAAGACATAAATACTCGTTTTAATATTTAAATCATTTAATCATCATCATTTAATATTTAAATATTTTAGAATCATCATTCTCTTGTAGCACTAACAGCTGATACACGAACGATTGTAAATTTCTATCCGTGGATTATCACCGTAAATAACATAAGCCAAATAGCTAACTAGATTATATGCACATCGACTGTCCTGATTTGATATCCAATTAAGAACGATCGTTACAAATCTTTGTCCACGATGCTATGCTATTTCTTTCGATTACGGGACTATAGCAGAGTGAAGATTACATATACGACAAATAGCAGTCTGTTTCGAAATTCTCTTCTCTTTGAATCATATTGGAGCCATCGTTCGATTAACTTTCACGATATAACGCACGATGTTGCGTGGTAACTGGAGATCGTTAAACTGCAATATTCGTTAAGAATGCAAAGGTAACTTAGTAATATGTATAAAGTTGGTTACGATCGAGAGGTTCATAATAAGCACGATCCTTGTCAAACTTTTGACTTTTTCATGGAATTGGTATGATGAAACATGATTTATGTTCTGGCTTATATGAAAATGAAATAATTCTACAAAAACAGGTTCTATAATTCTAAGATTTTATAATTTCGTGATTCAAATATAATTCCTTTATGATGTAATAATTATTGATACATTTATAGAAATAGTGTAATATGATGCATATTTCGTCGCAAGAAATTGAAATGTACTGAACAGAAATTAAACATACTAGAAGATTTCCTAGAAAGCGACAAACATTGTTATTTTGTCTTTTGAGCTCTTCCATTGTATTTCATTGGAATTGTGTCTACTTGTATACGTATATGGAGGGAGATGGAGTCTGATTAGGTCAACAGTAGGATAACAGTGACAATTAGTTGGAATAGCTTGTTGGACTCGTTGCATCTCCTAAATCTGGCACACATGCAAATTTGATTTCGCACCGTACACAATTGTGGTTGTACTGACAAAACTTTATGGTTTCCATAATTGAACTGTCCTGTAGCAGTTGTACATTGTAAGTACATTTTATTGCAGCCGTGTATCATTGTTTCTTTAATCCATGAAAATCATAGATACGAATTTATGTTCTCTTGTAATCGAATCGAATTGAGTAATTTCATTTAATATTTAAATGAATAATGATATTTCATAAATAAATCTGAAATAATTTCCTTTCATAGAAATATTTGGTTTGCCAAATGTTGACTTTACTAACGAATCAAAAATCTGTTGATTGATAGAATGAAATAATTCAATTCATCTATACGATACTCTCCCTTGACCGAGATCGATTATTTTATAAATCGTTCTATAAAAATAATTTATTAACATACCAGCTGTTTTACCGCGAATGTAATAACGTAATCATCGACGTCTCTTTAATTGTCTTTTTCTTAGTCCACTTAACTGCTAATACGTAGAAAACAGTTTTTGACGCACAAAGCAATAAAGTCTTTAGCGCACTTGTCATTAATCGGAAATACTTTCTATAAAAACACGATTCAAGGAGCGTGTTTAATTCGAAACTTTCAATGGTACAAAAAAATAATTCACGTGTTCCTGTTACCTTGATATTAGTTTTTTTTCCTCTTATTCGACCATTAAATTCTAGAAGATTTTATTTTACTTTGTACATTTAGTTATATTTAAATACTAATTTAGAATATAGAAATACATATTGGTGTATTTTAATTCATGTAATCTTTTCTGTGTAATAATCGTCGCGCGTGAGAGTGTTTACTGGAATAAAAAATTTGATCTTCTCCAGGCGATAATAAATTGTCTTAGAGTATTCTCATAAGAATTACGTCTCGAATATCAATTTCATGGAATTATAAATTTGAGAGTGCAACGTTTTGTGAACGCGACGCAATCAAGATGTTTGGATTGCAAGCTCAGCACTTTCATTGAAACAAAGCGGTTGTTAATGGGGACACATTGCATCAATACCGGAGTCGAGCAGAATTACTACATTACTATGTTACGCGAGCACTATACATACATAACAGTTATAACAATCTGCATGAAATACATTTAGATCTTTCGTTCTTCTCATTTAAGTTGTTACGATTCACGATTGGATCACCAGGTGAAACGTATAATCGTGCGATAAGAATAATTTTGAAGCAATTAAAGAACCATTTATTTAGGTAATTAGCGAAAATTATTCCACGTACCAATTTATTCCATTTTAACAGTACACTTTAATTGTTTGAATATTGGATAAAGAAATTGTAGTATAACAATAATAATAAGAAATTGTATAACAATAAATTGTAAATTTCTTTCGAATTTTGTTCAATTATGGCAATAGTGAAAAATATTAATTGATAGAATAAAATTACTGATACAATTTGACGATCAAGAATAGACCAGGTGTTAGTAACAAACAAATTTTTATATCTTTATAGATTTATATATTTTACAGATGTTTTATTATTTTAAATTTTTGGGTACTTATACTGGAAAGAAAAATTATTTCGTCCATTACATTTTCTATTTATAAACACCAATATATTGCACAATCGTAGATTACATAACGAGAACCTTGAACGGTAGGAGCTGGGATAATCCAGATGCTGAAAAAGTCGAATTCTGGTGGATCGAAATCCCATGATTCAAGTTCATTGTAATATTTATAACTTCAACCTTATTCAATAATTCGTAGCGTTATCAACTCGATTGTAATAATTCGTAACATAAGTTAGGATAACTGAATGAGCCGAGCTGTGAATAGATTAATTTATTAATCTTGAAGTAAGATTATTCTGAGTATAAAACAATTTGTTCGAAAATATTATCTACTTCCTTTAATTAGAAAATCTGACCGACATAAATAGAGAAAAGCTGTTTTTAAAATAACAAAGAAATTTCAAAAATTATATTAAAATAAATTAGAAACCTTCGACTGGATACCACTTATTCTAATTAATAAAACGATTTAAAAAAATTTAGAAATTCCTATTCAAACAGGAATCGAATAACTGAAAACTAAATTAAAAATACTATTTTCCGATTCTAAAGTAAAATAGAAATTCCAGAAATCGTGATAAAATAACTAAGTTTTAGTCAGATATAATACATTAATAAATAAAAATTCTACCGACCGGAAAGTTGCACATTTTTTAAGCGAAATAGAAACTCTCTCAAGCTGAACTAACTTAACAGTAATATATCATTAGATATATATAAACATCTGAACAAAACTACATATATACAATCACAACTAACACATTCTTAAATTTTCAACCCACCATACATCATTTCTCTGAAATCTTCACTTCAGTAGATCATAAATTCTCCATTTATCCTCTCGAGAATTAGAAAACGAACAGAAACTAAACAACTTTCTTCCAACACGGAAATCTCACACTGTCTTTGTATTTAACCATCGTCGTATATATCCACTTTACGTACACCTATTTAGCGTTGTGCCGTCTATTTCACAGCTGAAGGGCCCTAGGATCACAAATAACTCGTCCAGTAGCAATAACGCTGAAATCGAGTAATCAACACGAGTCATGGCGCCTACGAGATCTCTGATACCATGCAGCTTATCGAGCCGGTAGAGCAACATTCCACGGTACGGAATGGCCACACTCATTCCATCAGCACGCTCTCCTGCGAAAGAGCATTCTCCATGGAAGGTGCACTGCCACACTAGTGATGGGATCAAGTTCGATATCACGAGTTCAATGACACAAATAATAATAATAATTAAACCGACGCGACGCACCATATGCGTCAATATCAGAATGTGTCAAAAGAACGGACACAAATTTCATATACATTTTGAGATTCGTTTCAAATTTTATCAATATGATCACGATGTATCTTGCCTTATTATCAATGCTAGTGATATTACCAACAAAAGCATAAAAATCTTTTATGGTAAACGTGAAGATACTTTCGCGAATAGCTCTATAAATTAGTATAAAGCGTGGATTCCCAAAGTACGAATCGCGTTAAATACTAAAATATGGGAGTAATTACATGTTCATTGAAAGAGTTTTACTCTTACTCATCGAGAATCGTCGGACGAACGATTGTAAGTTAAAGATCGCGTGAGAATTACTGTTTCTGTTTAGTTTTCCGCAGGTCTATGTTAAAGTAATTTTGAATTGCTTATCGATTAATTCTCGACTGCAATTACATTCCGTGTAATCTTCGCGTGGACCGGGAAAAAAATTTGACGAAAGTGGGTCTGTCTCAGCCTATAAATGTTGCCATGGTTTACAGGATTTAAGACCAGATGATCGATGCTTGAATCTATTTGCGACGTACTTAAGCCCATCGCTACTCGTCACGCTCTGAACTGCACGCGCTCACATACACACAGAATTCTCGCGTGAGAGTCGAAACAGGAAACCATTTGGTTCATCTGTTTTTCGCTCGAGACACCGAAAATCGAACTCCACGAAGCCTTGATCCGACCTTCTCCTCCTCCGCGTGGAGCTTAAAGGCCTTTCGATCCTCTTGCCTGGCAGCATTCCGCGGTTTATGCTTCTTCTTTAACATTTTTCGTCCTTTCGCTTCTTTTTACTGGCTTCCTCGATCTCGTGTTTTTCTTTGTTTGCTTGTCGACTTCTGTTCAGTGTTTCTTTTTCATTTCAGATGAGTGACAGATTAGGAATGAGCTTGTTGGCGGTTGATTGACAGAGATGTAGTTAAAATTGTGGAAAAATTTGGTTAAACGAGTTATTCAAAGAATGTAGACTTATCTGGAAAGATTTTGAACAA